AAACTTCTGACCATCTTAAATCGAAACTTAATATGTGTCCTTATTGTAAAAAATTTCAAACGCAATTTGCAAGACACTTGGAATCAGTGCATAAAGATAAAGAAGATGTGAAAAAGTTTCGATTTTTACCCGAGAGTAAGTNGTTATAAAAGTCGTCATATTTACTTATAGCACTCGATCATTCGTATTGGATTAATGCATGCTGAAGGTAGTTCTATGTCAGTAGTAATTAACATTAAAATCTTTATACAAATATTTTAAATGTTTGTGTATGAACATTTATTATTAATATTGCCACATTTTGTATCAAAATATACATGAGATATTTTATCATCAAAGTGCTTGTTTTACACTATCATCTTCTAGTTGTTACGTGGCAGTTTTTTATATGCATTAATTCAATATAATGCAGTTGGTTACATTTAGAGTGTTCTGCAATTAAGTATAATTGAAAATGTTACTATGACAACATCGACGAAAATTATCTTAGCATCATTATTAAGATAATGTGTATGAGTTTTTACATTAATATAGTTTTACATTGCTCAACTTATATAATTTTTATACGTTTAGTCATCTAAAAATGCACTACATTAGATGAAAGTGCTGTTACAAAGAAGATAGATATTGTGTATCTTTTGGTTTATGTAAATAATTATAGTTTCTGTAATTGTTTGATTTTTGTACTTGTTTACAAATTTTGGAACCTCTGAAAACTTTTCCTGTTACCCAGTAATCTATGACGTTATGAATGATTATGAAAATTTGATTTGAAGTTTTTCTGAATTTACTTAAGTTATTAAAAGTCAAACACGCTACTGATAACTGACGTTTCTGAAAAGATTCTCTCTATCAAAAACTGTACTTCTTTTATGATTATTTAGTATTAAAGTTACTCTAAACTTTTTCGTCTAAAGAAACTATAATTAAGCAAATATTGTTTTTCGGCACATATACTATATACACACATAAATGTTCTTTCTATATTTACGTATAAAAATGTTGAAAAATATCATCAAAAGATGGTAAGTAAGATAAAATAATCGAGAAACTCAATACTTATGAAATATCTTACATATAAAAATAACAAGAGGAAATTCAAAATATTTTAGTAAGTGTGCCATTTTTGATGATCTAATCAGAATATGTTATTTTTATACGTAAAATAACAAAATAAATACTATTTTTGTCACCTTATATACATAATTATAGTTTGCACTAGAATAATTGTCATTAAATCTGAAGATGTGTTGTACAAAACCGTGCAAACAAAAAAAAACAAGTTAGATCAAAATTTTTTTCTGTAATTTTTTATAGTAACAAATAGGCGTTTTTGATAAACGGTAGTGATATATTGTGTACATAACGTGCAAAACTTTTAATTTTATAGTAAAATTTGTTTATCACAGAGATTTGTTCTTATTATTTTAGACAATCCAGAACGAAAGAAAATTATTGGTATAATTAGACAAACAGAAAATTTCAAGTATAATGGTTTGGTTTGGTTTGGTGCGTTTATGGCTCGTAGACCTATGGAAAGGTTAGTTTATACGCCAGTCTATAGTCAGTTTTTTATCCTCAGAACGTAAGGAAGGATCGTTGTGCAGTACTACTACCACGCGGTACTACTACCACGGCCGTCTTTCACACTGAGCGTGCCCATTTATGTCAGGCTCGTGCTCAGGGTAATGTGACTGTGACCGCCTTGTGGGAAAGGGATTAATTCAAGGGGGGATTATACTCGAATTAATTATTGGAGGTTCGATTTAGTTCGCCGATCAACCGATAAACTCGGTTGAAGGAGACCGGCCCGGAAAAAAATCCTTAGGTGGTAAGCGGATTCGAACTCGAGACCTCCGAGTTTGCAGCCCCTGCACTCAGGCCGCGAGACCACTGGGCCGGTCTTCAAGTATAATACAGATTCTAACATAAATAAAGGAGATTTAATTGTATGCCGACGTCCAGGGAAACACTTAAATAGACAAGTAACTGATTTTATTCCTTGTGCAAAATGAACAGGTTTTTTTTGTAAAAATAATATAAAACATTATTTTGCGTCATGTGGCCAGAAAATGAAGTATCCTCAAANAAATATAAAAGTATTGGGACGTACTGTGGCTTGTCGTATACATCACACTGCAAATACACCATTAAGGAGATTGGTATTTCCAGTGATGAGAGAAGACAAAATAACTCAAATTATCAGATATGATAAGCTGCTAATTGCTTATGGTAATAAAATGTGTCAAAAGTATTGTCTCCAACATCAGCACGATATGATTAGAGTGCGATTGAGATTACTTGGACGATTTCTTATTGTTTCGAGGGATCTTGATAATAGTGTAGTAGACTTTACTTCCATATATGATCCAAAGAAATACGATCAATGTATCAAAGCAGTCAATAAACTCGCACAATTTGATGAAACGACTTGGACATATAAAATACCGTCCATTGCGTCATCTTTGGAACACTTCTTAAACATGTCAAGCAAATTTTAAGAAGTATGTGCATTAAGAAACAAGAAGTCGACAAGCAAACTGTGGTAGAAAAATTTTTGAAAGTAATTGAAGAAGATTATACCGTCAGTGTAAATAAAATTGTGCTTGAAACCCAAGGACATCGAAAAAGGCAAAAAAATGTTGTCTTACCATCGATAGATGACATTAAACTATTTAATACGTATCTCAAAACAACTGAACGCACAAAAGCATTACAAGTTTTAGAAACAAATAGCTTCTCAGTTGAAGCATGGCGTGTGCTAGCTGAAACAACATTAGTATCTATTATGATATTTAATAGAAGACGTGCTGGTGAACTAGAGCGTATTTTAATTGAGAATTTGGAAAATTGTGTAACAATTTCAAAAAAAGAAGCGCCTGAATTATATAAATCTTTATCAAAATATGTACTAATGATAATACGCGGTAAATTAGGAAGAACGGTTCCTGTATTACTCCATGAAGAAATGTTGAAATGTATGCAAATAATTATTAAATATCGTAAATATGCTGGTGTTTTCGAAAAAAATCCTTATATCTTTGGTATACAAACAACCGATAAAAAAAGATACAGATATTTGAGAGGGGTGATACTCTATTGACCACAGTACGATTCGACACCGCTCGATTCGACACAGATTTATTCGACACCAAATTATTCGACACCGTACGAT